TGCTGTGGTTAGAGATATACTGTCAGCCCAGATTCAGCCGAATGCAGCAAAGTTGATTGGACGGCGCTTCACAGTACAGATGGACAATGATCCAAAACACACTGCAAAAGCAACCCAGGAGCTTATGAAGGAAAAGAAGTGGAATATTCTGCAATGGCCGAGTCAATCACTTGACCTCAACCCAATTGAGCATGCATTTCACTTGCTGAAGGCAAAACTAAAAGGCAGAAAGACCCACAAACAAAGAACAACTGAAGACAGTGATTATATTAATTTGTCCAATTACATTTGAGCCCCTGAAAATGGAGGGACTGTGTATAAAAATGGTTGCAGTTCCTAAAATTTGTACTTGATATTTCTGTTCAACCCCTTGAACTAAAGCTGAAAGTCTGCCCTTCGAATTCATTTGGATTGTTTTCATTTATTCTGGTGGCATACAGAGCCAAAAGTATGAAAAATGTGCCTGTGTCCAAATATATAGGGACCTAACTGTGTGTGTGTGTGTGTGTGTGTGTATGTATGTATATATGTATATATATATATATATATATATATATATTTAATATATATTATATTGATATGGTCAGTTAAGTAGTAGAGGGGGTTGTTATAATCAGTTTCAGCTGATTTGGTGTTAATGAAATTAACAACAGGTCCACTAGATTGGCAACAATGTGACGACCCCCCAAAAACAGGAATGATTTTACAGGTGAAGGCCACTGACAATTTTTCTTATCTTTTTTGACTGTTTTTCACTAGTTTTGCATTTGGCTAGGGTCAGTGTCACTACTGGTAGCATGAGGCGATACCTGGACTCTACAGAGGTTGCACAGGCAGTCCCGTTCCTCCAGGATGGTACATAAATACGTGCCATTGCCAGAAGGTTTGCTATGTCTCCCAGCACAGTCCCAGAAGGTCCTTAACCCATCAGACGGACCGGTATCTGCTCCTTTGTGCAAGGAGGAACAGGATGAGCACTTCCAGAGCCCTACAAAATGACCTCCAGCAGGCCACTGGTGTGAATGTCTCTGACCAAACAATTAGAAAGAGACTTCATGAGGGTGGCCTGAGGGCCCAATATCCTCTAGTGGGCCCTGTGCTCACTGCCTGGAACCATAGAGCACGATTGGCATTTGTCATTGAACACCAGAATTAGCGCCCTGTGCTTTTCATAGATTCACCCTGAGCACATGTGACAGACGTGAAAGGATCTGGAGAAGCCGTGGAGAACATGATGCTGCCTGTAATATTGTTCAGCGTGACCGTTTTGGTGGTGGGTCAGTGATGGTCTGGGGAGGCATATCCATGGAGGTACGCACAGACCTCTACAGGTTAGACAATGGCACCCTGACTGCCATTACGTATCGGGATGAAATCCTTGGACCCATTGTCAGACCCTACGCTGGTGCAGTGGGTCCTGGGTTCCTCCTGGTGCATGACAATGCCAGGCCTCATGTGGTGAGAGTATGCAAGCAGTTCCTGGAGGATGAAGGAATTGATAGCACTGAATGGCCCCCACTCTTGCCTTACCTAAATCAAATAGAACTCCTCTGGGATATCATGTTTTGGTCCATGCAAGGCCGCCAGGTTGCACCTCAGACTTTCCAGGCGCTCACAGATGCCCTGGTCCAGATCTGGGAGGAAATACCCCAGGACATGATCCATAATCTCATTAGGTACATGCCCCAACGTTGTCAGGCACGCATACAAGCACACAGGGGCCATACAACTACTGAGTACCATTTTGCTGCAATTAAATTTCAGCAAACTGGACAAGCCTGCTGCATAATTTTTTCACTTTGATTTTCTAGGTGTCTGAATTCAGTCCTCTGTAGGTTGATAATTTTCATTTCCATCAAACGATGGGGCATCTTTACATTCATAACACATTGCCCAGTCCATATCCGTATAGATATCCAGCACAATATTTTTCCCCATTGAGATCTGATGTGTTTTCAAAGTGTTTAATTTTTTTGAGCAGTGTATATTACATTTATTAACATTTACCTGTTACTTTCATTCACTTCTATCTTATGGACTGGCCTAATTCAGTACACGGTAATGTACATTATCTCACAACATGAAAAATGATCTATGAATGAAGGGGGTGGACCTTTCAATCAACTGCTTTTCCTCGACTCATAGATTGGTTTTTTGTTTTTTTTTGTTTTTTCTTCATGGATATCAGTGCATATGACTGGTCCCTTGGCCCTATTAACCTCCTGCTTCACTGGAAGATTACTGCTGCAGGGGTAGAGTGGGGTATCAGAGGATGGAAAATTGTAACTAAAACTGCATCCTCAGAAGAAGGGACACATAGCACGGATTGTGATTTACTAAACTTAGGCTTTTAATCCAAAAACAAAAAAATGTTATACCGGTATATTGCAGCTTACCAATCCTTAAATGTGGTGGCTATATTAGTTTTCTTTTTTTAGGATTTTTTCCTTTTTTTTTTTCACCTGCTGATCAGGCCAGTAACACACTTCTTGTGGGGTGGCTCCAGTCTATGAAGGAACAAAGTAGACACCCTTGGATAGCAGCATTGTTAACCTGTGGGTTAAATGAGTGTTAAATGAACTAACAGAATTAGATGGACCTAACTAACAAACTAAAGTCAACCTCCAGCTAACACTTTTTTAAGCTGTTAAAGCAACAGTTTGTTTTCCTTCTGCGATAAAAGTTTTACAAAAATGAATAAAGCTGACCATTGTAAGCACCCCTGTCAGTGTTAAATGGTTTGTCTCAACCCTCTAAATGCTACTTTGCAGGAAAACTTGGTCTGTTAAGGGCTTATTTACACCACAATCCCTGTGTCTAGTGTGCAATTTCCGATTGCACGTTTACATGCATTTGTAATTGACTCACTTGGTAGTACAAGGGGTCAATTGCTTCTGGTGAGTGCGAGTGCAGTGTGAAGGTGTTAGAAGGCACTTATGTGGAAGACGTGGATGAATCCAAGATATTGTACCAGTGTGACTGGAGTGGCACAGAACACTTTCACTTGATTAAGACACACATGTTGGATTGATCACAGCATTTGTTTCAGCACTGTAGCCTGTGCTTCAGTGTTCCTTTTATGTTCTCTTGGGGTGTCAGAGCACCTTGTTACAGCAGCTTACAGTAGGATTGTATATATGTATTGTAAACAGAGCAGGTGTTTTGGGGAGATTTGTTTTTTTAGCAATTAATGAATAACCACTCAGTCCATGAAACCCCCTCTTTGGGTAGAATTATTACTTACTGTCCTTTCTTTAAAAAACCTTTTTATCTGACTCTTGTCTCCTAAACTTCCTTTCAGAATTTGGTGGACTTGAAGCTTATCAAATTTCATAATCTCTACTGTCATCAATATCTTCCCTGCTTTACAAGACCAACATGGTCTGCCCAACTAAGAAGTATTTTGATTCCTAAATATTTTATTACCTCATATGCTAGATCAGGGCAGAACCTAGACCAAATGTCTCACTATATGAGCATAGAGTATGTGTAGCCATGACCTACATGCTGTGTGCCTAATATCACGATTGTACATGAAACAACTCAATAAGTCTGGTTCTGGTCCAGACATGCACACGCCAATAGGAATCTGACCATGGGTTCGCTAAGTTAATGATTGGAATGACATATGGACAACAACTAAATCCTCAAAAAATATAGTTGTTTTGAAAATCAATTACAAGAAATTGACCTATTGGTATTTGGTCCATGCCAGAATTTCTAAATTTGTTCCAAATTATCCAGAAACTTGTTTTCAGGGCTGTGGAGGAAGACCTTACCCAGGCTCAATTCAAATGACTTTTGCAAGTCACCCCAGCCTCCAAACAGACAATAGCAAAGGCCAAGAAGTCTAACTCCATCAGTACAGTAGAAACTAAAAATAAGGTCATTTAGGCTGTGATTTACACCACAATCGAAGCAATCATTATGGACGAAGTTCAAAAATATGGCAGCCATGGGTAGAACATTTCCTACCCCCACACTTTGCCTCATGCCTAATGCTTCCTTGACAGGCTTATCTTAACCCCTATTATGCATTTGTTGTTTTGGTGCCTGATTTGGGGATGAACTCTGGGAATCCTGCCCTTCTCTCATCCCTTCCCCTATCCTTTTCCCCCTATTTCTTCACTTGGATACTCTCTACCTCCTTCTTTCTACATACAGTGTATTTCTCTTGTTATATAATCAAGCTCCAGTTATTCTCCCTTTTTGATGTTTTTATATAACAAAAAGGCATAATACGCCAGGGAGTTGCTGTACTCTTTAGTACAACTGGTCAAGTGTAGCTTATCTCTAGCACACCTACTCATATCTGTAACACCTGAAATGAATGTGGTAATGTCTAACTTTACTGATTTATGTTCCCTGTATATCTTGTGCCATAAGTGCCTCATGTGTTGTAAATTCTCTAAGTATTTTGAACAAGAAATAAATACATTTTTCTTGTATATGCGTTCAGACACTATGTAAGAACGCACTCAGCTTCATCTGGTGTAAACAAGCCCTAAAGGAAGCTGAAAAATAACAGATTTACTGGCAAGATCACTAGGTAAAAATAAAGGGAAAAAAGAATTTAAATTCAGTCACCATTTGTAAGATTTAGAAATGAAGGCAGCCATGTATTTTGACACCCTTACAAATTAGGACTATTATGTCTTGAGATATACCGAAACTATCAGCAACTTCCAGGACTCTTAATACTTTGAAGCAGCACCCTTTATAATTTTTGATACATGTAGTAAATTTTAAAGCTGATGCTCGAATGTAAGCCATAGCTCTAAACTACCACGGCCTTTACTGTATATTATTAGTTTTTTTTTTTTTTAAAAAGTCAGTCCTGATAAGTTTGTTTTAGTTTCCCCCTTTCTGTGGGCCAAGCTTAAAGGTTGAACATCTTTGCTGTTGAAAGCAGATTTTTTAAGGGATTTTTTTTTGGGATTCATCATTGTTGATGCCATGTGTCAATCACTGTTTGGCTTGTTCTATGTGTTTGGTTGTAGTGGCTAAAACAGATCGAGGTGACGGAAGCTGCCCTCACACAGAAAATGATCGATCTGGAAAATGAGAAGGTAAGACTCCCAGTAAGTGAAGTTTTTGTAAACTATTTCAAATTCTCCCAAACGTCTTTCATCAACCATTTCCAAAGTCAGTGATTCATCTCATAATATATTTTATTACTAACATACCACCATTCTCGCCTCTTTAAAGGGAACATAAATTGATACACTTACAATAATAAATGTAATTTTTATGACATAAACCAATTTTTTACTATATAAAAGAATTATGAACGTCTTCTTTTCATTCTCAGGACTTGTTCAGCAAGCAGAAAGGTTACTTAGAAGAAGAACTTGACTACCGAAAGCAAGCACTTGATCAAGCATATATGGTAGGCATATAAAAAGCGGTGAGGACCCAAACCGAAATAAAAACCTGACAGAAATTCTAACCTTTCCCCACTGTACCCAAAACAAAAGTTTTTTTCTACCCTTTAAGTATACTTTACAGAGCTATTTCTTGGAATATAATTTTTCTGCAATATAACAAAGATTAACATGTTATTCTGTATGTACAGAAGGCATATATTCAGCACTTAAACTAATTCCATTTCAGGGGAACGGACAACCCGAGAGGACCAGAAAAACTCTCCAGCCCTTAAATACTTTCACACATGCCTGCACTTTAGGCACCTACCATACCTCTACGTGGCTTAGAGAAATGTCTCCATGTAACATCTGTGCAATTTACTTTTAAGTTTTTTTTTTTACAAAATATGTGAATATAATGCCATTATAATTCCAGGTTTTATTTTTACTATAAAGTTATATACAGAGTTACTGATGGGAGTCAGACGGTTTTGAAAAAAACACTACTCCGTAGATTTTCAACTTGAAATGTATTCATTTTTACAAAACCAGAGGTCAAGATATGTAATTTGAGTTACTTATTCATTTCTGAAAAATAATGTCATTTAGATGACGACCATCCTCTTGAATTCAGCTTTCAATCCTTTGCTTGAAATTGTCCATCACTTGGGCCAACAGCTGTTGATATATCATCTGTCCGGGGCTCCTAACCTGTGCCTCTCTCACCCTTGCAATGTTTTCCGGCATCCTTGCAGTGCGAGTTGGGCCTGGTGGTTTCTTGTTCATAATGTTTTCAGTTGTTCTGAAACGTTTAACCCACCTGAGGACTGTGTTGCAACTGGGAATTGCCCCTGTCGACCGACATTGAATTCTCAACGAAATAACAGCTGGGTTGCTGTGATAGACTCACCACTTTGAACAAAACTATCGTAAGCAAACAATGTTGTAAAGTCCACTTCTTCATTGTGACTGAATTGGCATTCCAGTGGAGGGAGTTGGAGACGTCTAGCTTGTCCCCCTCCCATCACCACCGCGTACTGCCTGTTCTAAAAACGTCTGATTCCCGTTGGTCACCCTGTATAATATACTGTACTATATAGTATACTAAATAATAAGACTGAAGTGACAACCGGTTGGCTGATTTCACTGCGGTGGCCATCTGTCCTCGTTATTGAAGTATTTGGGTTTTCAGCAGTGGGAAATATCTTCCCAACTAGAGTTTGTGAAGTGGCCAGTTCTCCTTTAACACAGCTTTCACTTGCTGTTGAGTAGAAACCCTGCAACTTTAATTCTGGAACAGACTTTTCTTCTCTTACTTGTTTTTCAAGCTGAGAATATGTGAGAGGACTTTTTTTTTCTTGTTCTTAGCTTCCATGAGATTGGATCCATGGGTTGTACACTTTGCAATACCTGTTGTAATCTCACTTCATCAATGGTTTTAGGATCCCTTTCTTTCCCTACATTTATTTTTAGAGAGTATATTATCTAAATATGAAAGGTATGTATTGTGAGGCACTAGCTGGCAGGATTATGGATGGTGAGTATGTGTCACCTAGGTTTCTTACCTCCAAATGGTGAAGGGCTCCAGGTATAATGGTTGATATAAAGTAAACAAACCTTTTTGCTTTTGTGGAATCTTAACAATTTATTTAGTCCTGATGCTTTGGTAGGATATAAGCTCCAAGTTCACATCTTACATGGTTGCCAGACTCTCAGCTGTCTGTATGTGAGCTGACTGATGCTCAGGGCTCTCTCGCTCTCTTTCACCCAGCCTGCTACTGGGTGAAAAGGCTGAGTACTGATAGAACACTAAAAAATACAAGAGCTGCTTGTTTGTTTCAAGAAACTCAATAAGTACCCTATTGGTCAGGAACTGACCTGAGTATAGTTAGTGGCTCAGATGAGCAGATGTTTAGTTTGTTTTATGCTAAGGACTTGGTATACAAAGCTGTCCTGACTTGAAACTGCAGTTCAGCGCTGCCTTGCTGCATAAAAGTACAGAATAAGCCTGCTTAAGGTCCCCAGGAGCCGCCCAGGTCCCGCTGCTCGCTGGCTAGGGTGCATACGCCGCCCGGCACATCGCGGCAGGGACACCGATCCCTGACAGGGAGGACTCTGATGTGAAGGTATAGGGAGGACTGTGATGTGAAATGGGACTCTGATTTGAAGGGGGAATGTCTTATATCTTACGGGGCTTCTGACATGAAGTTATTTCATGGAGCGGTAATTTTATATTCATTTATAAAACGCATGCGCGGCCGTCACGATTGCCCAGGTCCCGCTGCTCGCTGGCTAGGTTGCATCGGTGTTCTGCGCATGCGTCGCCCGGCGCATCGCGGCAGGGACACCACGATCCCTGACAGGGGGACTCTGATGTGAAGGTATAGGGAGGAGTGTGATGTGAAATGGAACTCTGATTTGAAGGGGGAATGTCTTATATCTTACGGGGCTTCTGATATTAAGTTATTTCATGGAGCGGTAATTTTATATTCATTTATAAAACTGATTATTTGTGGCCTGGGAATATTTGTAAAATATGGCCCTTACGCTGAATAAATTGGGGAACCCCTCCCCCCCCCCCCACACACACACACACACACACACACACTAAATTGAGGACTGCACTATACAAAGGGTCCTTGATGAGGCAGTGCACTTCCACATACAGTGTATTCAGGGTAGCCAACTGACCATACATTTAGAAATAGTTTGTAAAAAAACTAAAACCTCTGTTTTTAGGGCCAGGTCACACCACAAAAACACATCCCAGGCATGTTCCAGGTGCATTTTTGATAAGTTTTGCTTTGTTCCAGTACAGTTCTCTGTAGAAAAAATGTAGCATGTTCCACTTTTTTCCTGCACTGGAACTGACTGCACTGGTGTGAACTAGGGCCATTGGAATACATGGAAAACACTGCACTTTCATTTTTGATGCAGGAAAAAAATGCTGGACTACATCTGGTGTGAACTGGTCCTAAATGCAGATTGTTAGACAGTGTAATTTTTTTCTTTTGCTGGCTAGCTTGTAATTGTGCTGAGAAATACTTTTTATTTTGTTTGCCATCATGATAGAAGGCAAGTAGGATGCAGCATTGATAAGAAGCTATTACATTGTCAATTGGATACAGCATAGATGACTTGTTGTAGGATACAGTAATGATCACTCATGATAGAAGAAACTAATAGACTATTAGTAGGGTAAAGCAATAATGGTTTGTAGTATATATAGGATGCCAGTAGGATAGCTGTATTTTATGAAATAAAAGGATATTGACAAGAATGGTATAACTCTTTCTATTTATAACAACATAATAAAAGGTCGCTAGAACACAATATTTTCTTATGGCTCAGCTTTTTATATTCATTTTTCTGTCTATATCTGTATTCTTATTGTTCCTTTTTTTATATTTTTCTTCTTGAACACACAACTGCTGGTGACTGCTGTGACTTGTGCTAGAAAATCCAGGAGCTAGAGGCCACTCTGTATAATGCTTTACAACATGAGCCCGGGAAGAGAGTCAGCGAATGTTTGAATGAGGCCCAAAGAGAAGACTTGAGGTTGGCCGTAGACAAGCTGCGAAGGCAAATACTGCGGCAGAGCCGCGAGTTCGACAGCCAAATCCTTCATGAACGCATGGAGCTCTTACAACAGGCACAACAGGTACAGAAAATAAATCTTCAACACAATTCATGCTAAAATAGAATTTTGTAAATCCACTCTAATTTGTTGTACTCTCAAATCCAACCCTACCATGAAAGAGAGTGCAAATATCACTGGGAGGCAGCATGAGACACGTTTCATATATTGTGTGCATGTTCTTTAATTGCGTAATTGGAGTAGTGCACATGTAAGATTCACCACACTGATTTCCTAGTATTGGAAACAGTGGAAATGCTTTGGATGTGGCTTAATGATGAAAGTTGGACCTTGGCTTGGGATGTGGGTGGTATTTAAATATATATATATATATATATACAGTTGTGGCCAAAATTATTCAACCCCCACTGAAATTGAGTGTTTTGGCCAGTTTGACATTGCTTTTGATCATTCAGTCATCTTGCTTACATTTACATTAAAGAGGCACTTGTAGGTCAGACAAATATAACATAACAGTTATAATGAAATAACCACAAATGTCTTTTCTGTGCTCACAGCATTATCAGTTTTATTCAACCCCCAAGTGACATTCAATCTTAGTACTTAGTACAGCATCCTTTTACAGTTATAACAGCTTTTAAACGTGAAGCATAGCTTGACACAAGTGTCTTGCAGCGATCTACGGGTATCTTCGCCCATTCTTCATGGGCAAAGGCCTCCAGTTCAGTCACATTCTTAGGCTTGCACTGCAACTGCTTTCTTTAAGTCCCACCAGAGGTTCTCAATCGGATTTAAGTCTGGTGACTGCGATGGCCACTCCAAAATGTTCCAGCCTTTCCTCTGCAACCATGCTCTAGTGGACTTGGAGGTATGCTTGGGATCATTGTCCTGTTGAAAGGTCCAACGTCTCCCAAGCCTCAGGTGTGTGACGGACTGCATCACGTTTCCATCCAATATCTCCTGGTACTGAAGAGAATTCATGGTACCTTGCACACGCTGAAGCTTCCCTGTACCTGCAGAAGCAAAACAGCCCCAAAGCATGATTGACCCTCCACCATGCTTCACAGTAGGCAAGGTGTTCTTTTCATCATAGGCCTTGTTCTTCCTCCTCCAAACATAGCGTTGATCCATGGGCCCAAACAGTTCTAATTTTGTTTCATCAGTCCACAGAACACTATCCCACAACTTTTGTGGTTTGTCCACATGGCTTTTGGCATACTGCAGTCGACTCTTCTTATTCTTTGGAGACAGCAAGGGGGTACGCCTGGGAGTTCTGGCACGGAGGCCTTCATTACGCAGTGTGCGTCTTATTGTCTGGGCTGAAACTTCTGTACCCACATCTGACAAATCTTTTCTCAGTTCCTCAGCAGTCACACGGGGACTTCTCTCCACTCTACGCTTCAGGTAGCGCACAGCAGTCGAAGTCAGCATCTTCTTTCTGCCACGACCAGGTAGCGTTTCAACAGTGCCCTTTGCCTTGAATTTGCGAATGATGCTTCCTAAGGTGTCTCTTGGTATGTTTAACATCTTTGCAATCTTCTTATAGCCATTGCCCTTCCTGTGAAGAGAAATCACCTCTTCTCTTGTCTTCCTGGACCATTCTCTTGCCTTCACCATGTTTGTAACCACACCAGTAAATGTCTAGAAGGAGCTGAGTATCACAGTCATTTTAAAGCTGCCTAATTGGTGCTTATTATGCTTGATTGCTGCTCGGTGACATCCACAGGTGTTTTCAATACCTGATGGAAAGCACCTGTATGAACCTCTGTTCTTCAGAGTGGTAGTCTTTAAGGGGTTGAATAATTGTGGCAATGAAGAAACCACATAAGAACCATTTACTACTGTATTACATAAACAATTGATGTCATTTTAGTTGCATTTGGGTAGTTACAACGTCCTTGTAGGATTTGATTCTGAATACAATTCCAAATGTACACTATAGTCCCTAAACCCCTTTACAGCATTGGGGGTTGAATAATTTTGGACACAACTGTATATATATAATATTTATTTTTTTGTTTTATTTATATTATTTTTGTTAATGTAATCAGGTAAAAACAATGCTAACTCATATTTTGTATAGTTCAGTTGAGGCAGCCTATGGAAATCTAGGTTTTTTTTCACACGTTCCAGCCTGTTGTGTACAGAGTTCAGTAGCTGAAGCAGAAATATATACACACACACATTTTCAACAAGAGACAGCCTGTCTGAAAGGAAATAACTCCAAGAATCCTTTGTCCTGTATTAAATATTATTAGCTGAACAAAGATTGTAATAATATTTTAAAATATATAAACTTTGAAAATAAATTAAAACAAAATTGACGCCATATAATTATAGTTTCCCTGTAAGTGACACATTTGTCAATATGCACTGAAGCCACACAGCACTCTCCTGACAAAGTATCTGCTTGGGTTGTCCTGCACTGAATGTAAGCTTATCAAATTGGGACATGTAAATGAACAGTTATAATACAAGCAACCTTTAGGAAGAGTTTTCTTCATCCCTCCAGACCTGTACTAAGTCAAACAAGAGGACCAGACTTAACACCTAAGGCTTTTCACACCTGGTCCTCACTGATGAAATGTTTGGGGGCAATCACACCAAATTTACTTACTCTACACCCTTTACAAGGTTGGTAAACCAAGACTGTGCTGTTAAAGAATGCACACAATTGCCCATATTTTCACTGTTACCACTTTTACGATCTGTTAGATTTGTTGTAACATGCCCCCTACTGGTGTATATATGCACTTACACATGCTGAGAAAGCCTTTGTATGCTGTAGCAAAACAAAGTGAAAATGCAAAAATTCCTAGAAGTCTTTGGCTCTATTGCCCCCTAAAAAAAGTGTTCTCCTCTACCACACAAATGTGACCAGTTGTGACTGGAAGTGAAGTTGGAGAACCAAATCTAAAAGAAAAATGTGCCAATCTGTCCTATAATGTAGATTTAAAGCTCAGTAAAAGCAGATTCATCCAATGCAAATATGTTATTTTTTTCATGTTTGCTAACATTGCAGAGCAACCAGCAGTGGACAACTGAAATTTATCCTCCTACACTATAGCAAAAAGCTGCATGGAGATGTAAGCTTCGATAGTCCTCTTTACCTGAACATTGCAGATAATTATTCAAAATGGCTGCAGTCACATTAAATATAGCACACATACTAGAAAACATAAACCGCTTTCAGAAACCTGATTCCACTTAATGGTGTGGGGAGGAAAGTTTCATAGTGATAATCAATCAAGTTTCCTGCATCAGGTTCTGAACTGTACCTGCTATTCCTTATTCCTTTGTATATCTTTCCTAACAGACATGTTTAATAATTTGTAGCTATACAATTATCTCTATATTTGCTTAACATCAGAACTTCAACACAGTCTGCTCAATGTTTAAAATAAAAGATATTGCCATGTTTCTTACCGTGGTGCTCAGATGCAGAATGCTCCTAGCTATAGGTTTTGTAGATACAGCGTGTACACTTGTATACATATGGTATGCAGACATAGTAATCAGCTTAGCTGGTTTGCCCTTGTTATTTCGTCAGTGTAATTCAGTTAGTTTGGCTGCTGCTAGATAGTCCTGGTGGCCTAATAAGTGTAGTCACAGGTATAGCTATAGCAGACAGAATAAAGCATGACCAGCAGGACAAACAGCCCAATGCCACCCACAGATATTAAAGTTGTCACTAAGCTTCAAAATTCAAACTGAACAAATGATGAAGAAATGCATATTCTGATCAGATTTATAGATTTAGGGAAAAGATCATGTCAGAATGATCAGTAAATGCAAAGATACAGGCAGCTGAAGTTATGTGTGAATCTTTCTAAGTCAACTTTGGATCTGCCTTCTCTCTTCTGTTAAGACTCCTTATTGGTTAGTTAGCCTACCTATCACATTTAAGGACTAGGGATGAATTCAGACGTGTTTGGAGAGGAATCCAAACCTGCCTGAGCTATTCTGTTGGGAAGATGTCAAAGTAGACATCCAATAATAGGCGGCGGAGGCATTCCCCGCCCTGCATGTATGCAAGGGGCATGTATACATACTCTGAGGGGCAGAAATGTCTCTGCTGCCTATGATTGGCTGAGATGATCACCGTTAGGCTAGGTTTAGATGTGCGTGTAAATCCTCCGCCCCCCCCAGCCAGGATAATAGGATATTTCACACGTTTCTTCAATAACCAGTCTAGTGGTGGTGTTTTTGTTGTTTTTATTGTTGGAGAACTTGGATAGGGATGAGGGAATTAGGTGGGATACTCCAAAAACAAGAACTATGGACAACTTGAGGATTTAAGTATTCATCAGGTTATATTAAAGTCTGTGCTTGTAGCAAACAGTAGACTTTAGCTTTAAGGTAGTAGTAGCAGTAAATTAGCTGTGAATCTCTTTGAGTCCCATTTTAGGTAATAGATTAGGAGGACAAAGCTCTTTGGGACACCAGCCGGTGTCCCCTTTTACTAGACCTGCAGCTGACTCCCAGAAGGGTTTAGCAGCATAAAGTCTCTAAGATCCTTTAGGGGTGTCTGCAGGGGCGGACTGACAACCTATGGGGCCCCCGGGCAATAGGGGATCATGGGGCCCCCATGTCCTTGCCCACACTCATAAAACCCTATAAAAAAAGGTACCAGGGGCATTTCATGGGGCCCCCTACTGACCCCGGGCCCTCGGGCACTGCCCGAGTGCTCGAATGGTCAGTCCGCCCCTGGGTGTCTGTACGCGCAAGGCCCAAGGACAGCTGGTCGCCTTCCTCCATGATACCAAACCAGATCTACAGTAGACGGTCCCTCAGTCAGCTTTAGCAGAACCCGAGTCTCAGTATTCAGGCCCTTAGGTCGCCCACCAGAGGTCTACGAATGTAGATGCAGCATCATTGCCTGGAAGGGCAGCATGCCCCCTCTAGGCTGGACCAGTTCTATCCAGGAAAGACCCAGAACTCTGTGTGCTTATTGAATATATACAGTTAGACACAGCATGCCATCAGAGTATCTCTCTCTGGGATAGGCCAGGGCTGTGTTAATAGTCACGCTGCCATCTGCATAGCTCCACACCTATCATCCAGAAACTTCTAAAGCTTTCTGAATGCAGAGGGAGCTATCAGACTGGCCGCAGCTAAACACTCTGAGCAGACCTGACTAGCAGAACTATGCTTTTACCTAACAATCACAACCACACAAAACAAATAATAAATCTATCTATCTAAACCTAGCACCTATCTAGGAGGGTGCTACATAGAAGAGACTGACAGATGATGATGAGGTGTAACACATGTTTTCACCCCATTTTTGACTAACAAAAACACTGCAAACGTGCATTGCACGCAGTAGCAGGGTGTTTGTGGGGCTTCCTCATTCACTTACAGCCTGCTGATCGCAATATTTTGGATCATATTTTTTGCAACCATGAAATGAAGCACTGCATGAAGTATGTAAGCACCAATTTTTCCCTGCCATTGCAGCTTGAAGCGAAGCTCCACCCAAAAAGGGGAAGTTCCACTTCAAGGACTGCTCCCCCGCTCCCCATTATGGATTTGCACCTTTGGGGGCAGGGGGGGGGGCGGGTACCTGATTTTGACAGGTACCGGCTCCCACTTCCGCTGCGTTCAGAAACGGAATTGGGCGATTGGAAACAGAAGTTGTCCTCCTACCCTCCCTCACCGAAGTGTTGTGGGACATTTTACAGGTCCCAGAAGACGACGGGGCCATTCAGGAAGCAACGCTATTCGCGCATGCGCAGTGGGTACCCGACTGTGAAGCCACAAGCTGTCACAGCCGGGTGCCCACACTGAAGATGACGGCCTCCTGGAATACAGGATGGCCAGTGAAACGGGCTGCGGGGGGGGGGACACCGCGGGACCCAGGGACAGGTAAGTGTCTGTTTATTAAAAATCAGCAACTACAGTTCGTTGCTGCTGACTTTTATTTTTTGACAGGGTGAGCGGAACTCCGCTTTAAGGAGGGGTGGTTGGAGGCATTAACCATTTCAATGCTTCCCAACCACATGTCTAAACTTCGCCTTACAGACCAATAGGACTAAGCTTTACTTTTACAGAATGGAGATTTGCATATAGCTTCAGCTGTCGGTTATCTCTGGATCTACTAATAATTTTGACTTGCAATTTTCCCTGAAGCTGACCTCTGCATATGTATTTTATATTTATTCTCATGTTCTCTTTTGGTTGATGACAGGTTAATTTTAGTAATTCAGTTGCATTGTCATATACATTCTGATTGCTGCATGATCTTTCAGCTGAAAGATCATTATATACACACATATGAGCCTCTACCTTTCCCCCACGCTACCTAAAACTTAGAAGAAACATGTTTTGGCAGGAGTTCCATTTAAAATAATATTTCTTTGTCGTACATATTCTGTATTGATTGTATTTTTACTGTATGACTGAAGTTTTGCTCCAAGTCACTAAAATGAAAGCCGTGGTGTTCTATGGAAGAGAATGAATATCACGCTGAGTGTCTGTCATAGCTTAGCGGTGTTATTGGATTAGGATTTACTCTTTTCAGCTTTGAAATAGAATTACCCCACCACGTAATATCTCTAAGCCACCAAAAGAGGAAGAGAAAACCCATCAGGAGGAGGATCATCATTTTCACTAAGTATCCATCACACGATGGCTCATAAAAAAAAAAAAAAAACGGAGCCAAGGATAGCAACATGGGAGCTGCCATTGGTTACTTGCCTTTAAAGGCACAGGCCTCTGGATTGTCATCCTGATCCTGACTTTACTAGGAGTAGCTGCTAACCTGGAACAAGCATGTAGGATGGGAGTTCAGACATTTTAAATTCTTAGGATAAAATGAAAATGTTTGCTCAGTCCAGTGTAGAAATGTAGGTGTTTAAAGAGGAAGCACAGTGCAATTTCAGTGTTTACAGTGCAGTGTTTACCTTAGAGGACAAGTGCATTTTTAGCAAAATGCATACTTGTCACTCTTCCTAATGTAAAGCCTAGAAACCCTTCACCAGACTGCCTTATCTACTTTTTCATGACAGCCTTGACTGCTGTTTGTCTCCCACTGGGTGAGCCCATGCAGTGAGTCCTCATCATGGATGGTGAACATACTCCTCAATGTAAGACCTGGCTGGTTGGGTTTCTGGATACTGAACATATTCCTTAGTGTAAGACTCTACTGGTGGGATATCTAGTTGGTGAACATACTCTTCAGTGTTAGAGCTGGTTGGTGGGGTTCCTGGATACTGCACATACATCTCAATGTAAGATGTGGCTGGTGGCATTCATGGATAGTGAACATATTTCTTAGTGTAAGACCCTACTGGTGGGGTTTCTGGATGGTGAACATACTCCTGAATGTAATACCTATTTGGTAGGGTTCCCAGACAGTGAACATACTCCTTAGTGTAAGACCCTACTGGTGGGGTTCCTGGAAGTTTAACAGACTCCTTCGTGTTAAACCTGGCTGGTGGAGTTTCTGGATAATGAACATACTCCTCAATATAAGACCATACTGGTGGGGTTCCTAGATGATGAACATACTCCTCATTGCAAGACTTGGCTGGTGGGATTCCTGGATGGTGAACATACTCCTCACTGTAAAGCCTGGCTGGTGGGGTTCCTTAGTAGTCAGGGTTATTGTAAGACCCTGCGGGTGGGGTTTCTAGATGGCAAACATACTCCTAGGTGTTAGACCTGGCTGGTGGGGTTCCTTAATAGTAAACATACTCTTTATTGTAAGACCCTGTGGGTGGGGTTTCTAGATGGCAAACATACTCCTAGGTGTTAGACCTGGCTGGTGGGGTTCCTGGATGGTAAACATGGACTACATTGTAAGACTTGGCTGTTGGGGTTCTTGCATGGTGAACATCCTCCTCCCATATAAAGCAATAACTGTACATCAAAACACATAACAAGCATTGGCCATTGGCTGTTAACCCCAAATTGTAAATTCAGAAAGGCATGTCAATGCACATTGATGAATGAAAATCCACCTGCCTAACCCTACAAAAAAAATCACACAAATGGCTCTTAATGTTTGAGTCTGATAGCAAAACAAGCTGTTTCTGTAAATATAAATGTCAGAAAGGATCAGATGAATGCGTTGTTACTGTTTGTTAAAAAAGAAAGCAATGACAATAATAATGTTTGTGTTGTTCCTTTACATTTCCAGAGAATCCGTGAACTTGAAGATAGGATAGAACTTCAAAAACGACAGCTGAAAGAAATAGAAGAGAAGGTAAAGGAGTGTCACTTGCACCTTATTGTATTAAGCATTCAGCAGTGTAAGTGATGTGATGTGTCTGGGTTGCTGCTGTGTAATTTACTAATTAGACTATTAGGATGCTCTGAGCAAAGCACACATTTAGATCCGGAATAAAATCATTAAGCCAAAGCAGTGGTGACAGTGTTACAGAATGTCAGGGGAATATACAGTATGTGACTTGTTTACAGAGCCAGCCTAGTAACCCCACACTTCCATGTATTCATTGAACGAAAGATACATACTATGAAATGTCCACACTCAACTGCTTGTAAATCATTCTTCTTGTGTTCCTTTATAGAATGTAACGAGACACTCTTAATAAAGAGAATTCTAAATCATAACAATTGCAGATAAAAATTAATACCAGTTTGTGGTGTGATTTTTATAACAAAATAAAGCTGTGAGAAGATATTTGATAAAGAGGATTCTAGAGGATATGTATTGCTGTCAGCAGCCTTGAATCTGTCTACTATATCTGTCAGCATGTAAGGTGTTGATTAGGGATGAGCTCAGGTGTGTTTGGATCTTAGTCTGAACCCCCCATGAGCGAGTCCTCCAGCAAGCTGTCACTGTACTGTGCCAATCATAAGCAGCCAGTACATATACACACCAATTGTGAGAGCAGAACTGTGACCAGTCACCCTGCATAAGGAGAGAGAGCAGCAGTGACTGGTCCTTATTACAGGAAGCTCCTGTACATAGACACAATTTCACATTTTTCCAAGAAAAAACAGATCAGTTTACATCCGTTTTTCATCAGTTTACATCCGTTTTTCATCAGTTTACATCCGTTTTTCATCAGTTCACATCCGTTTTTCATCAGTTCACATCCGTTTTTCATCCGTTCACATCCGTTTTTATCATCAGTTTCCACATCCGTTCACATCCGTTTATCATCAGTTCACATCCGTTTATCATCAGTTCACATCCGTTTTTCATCCGTTCACATCATCGTTTCCGTTCATCAGTTCACATCCATTTTTCATCCATTCACATCCACATCCGTTTTTCATCAGTTCACATCCGTTTTTCATCCGTTCACATCCGTTTTTCATCCGTTCTTTCATCATCCGTTCACATCCGTTTTTCATCATCCGTTCACATCCGTTTTTCATCCGTTCCGTTCACATCCGTTTATCATCATCCGTTCACATCCGTTTATCATCCGTTCACATCCGTTTACATCCGTTTTTTTCATCCGTTCACATCCGTTTTTCATCATCCGTGTACATACGTTTTTCATCCGTTCACATCCGTTTTTCATCCGTTCACATCCGTTTTTTTTCATCAGTTCACATCCGTTTTTCATCAGTTCACATCCGTTTTTCATCAGTTCACATCCGTTTTTTTTCATCCGTTCACATCCGTTTTTTCATCCGTTCACATCCGTTTTTCATCCGTTCACATCCGTTTTTCAGTTCACATCCGTTCACATCCGTTTTTCATCATCCGTTTTTTTCATCCGTTCACATCCGTTTTTTCATCCATTCACATCCGTTTTTTCATCCATTCACATCCGTTTTTCATCCATTTACATCCGGTTTTTCATCCGTTTTTACATCCGTTTTACATCCGTTTACATCCGTCATCCGTTTTTCATCCGTTCACATCCGTTTATCATCCGTTCACATCCGTTTTTCATCCGTTCACATCCGTTTTTTCATCAGTTTCACATCCGTTTTTCATCAGTTCACATCCGTTTTTCATCCGTTCACATCACATCCGTTTTTCATTTTCATCCGTTTTTCACATCCGTTTTTTCATCCGTTTCACATCCGTTTTTCATCCGTTCACATCCGTTTTTTCATCCGTTTTACATCCGTTCACATCCATTTACATCATTTTTCATCCGTTCACATCCGTTTTTCACATCCGTTTTTCACACATCCGTTTTTCATCCGTTTTACATCCGTTTTTCATCCGTTCACATCCGTTTTTCATCCGTTCACATCCGTTTTTTCATCTGTTCACATACGTTTTTCATCCGTGTACATACGTTTTTCATCCGTTTTTCATCATTTTCATCCGTTTTTCATCCGTTTTTCATCCGTTTTTCATCCGTTCACATCCGTTTTTCATCCGTTCACATCCGTTTTTCATCCGTTCACATCCGTTTTTTCATCCGTTTACATCAGTTTTTCATCCGTTTTCATCCGTTTTTCATCCGTTCACATCCGTTCACATCCGTTTTTCATCCGCTCACATCCGTTTTTCATCAGTTCACATCCGTTCACATCCGTTTTTCCGTTCATCCGTTTTTCATCATCCGTTTTTCATCCGTTCACATCCATTTTTACATCCGTTTTACATCCGTTTACATCCGTTTTTCATCCGTTTACATCCGTTTTTTCATCCGTTCACATCCGTTTTTCATCCGTTCACATCCGTTTTTTCCGTTTTCATCCGTTACATCCGTTTTTCATCCGTTCACATCCGTTTTTCATCCGTTCACATCCGTTTTTCATCCGTTCACATACGTTTTTCATCCGTTCACATACGTTTTTCATCCGTGTACATACGTTTTTTCCGTTCATCCGTTTTTCATCCGTTTTTCATCCGTTTTTCATCATCGTTTTTCACATCCGTTCCATCCGTTTTTTCATCCGTTTTTCATCCGTTCACATCCGTTTTTCATCCGTTCACATCCGTTCACAACCGTTTTTCATCCGTTCACATCCGTTTTTCATCCGTTCACATCCGTTTTTCATCCGTTCACATCCGTTTTTCATCCGTTCACATCCGTTTTTCATCCGTTCACATCCGTTTTTCATCATCCGTTCACATCCGTTTTTCATCCGTTCACATCCGTTTTTCATCCGTTCACATCCGTTTTTTTTTCATCCGTTCACATCCGTTTTTCATCCGTTTTTCACATCCGTTTTTTCATCCGTTCACATCCGTTTTTCATCCGTTCACATCCGTTTTTCATCCGTTTACATCCGTTTTTCATCCGTTTTCCGTTTTTCATCCGTTTTTCATCCGTTTTTTCATCCGTTCACATCCGTTTTTCACATCCGTTTTTCACATCCGTTCACATCCGTTTTTTCCGTTCATCCGGTTTCACATCCGTTTTTCATCCGTTCACATCCGTTTTTTTTCACATCATCCGTTCACATCCGTTTTTTCATCTGTTCACATACGTTTTTCATCCGTGTACATACGTTTTTTTCATCCGTTTACATCCGTTTTTCATCCGTTCACATCCGTTTTTCATCCGTTTTTTTCATCCGTTTACATCAGTTTTTCATCCGTTTACATCCGTTTTTCATCCGTTTTCATCCGTTCACATCCGTTTTTCATCCGTTCACATCCGTTTTTCATCCGTTCACATCCGTTTTTTCATCCGTTCACATCCGTTTTTCATCCGTTCACATCCGTTTTTCATCACATCCGGTTCACATCCGTTTTTCATCCGTTCACATCCGTTTTTCATCAGTTCACATCCGTTTTTCATCCGTGTACATACGTTTTTTTTTCATCCGTTTACATACGGTTTTTCATCCGTTTACATACGTTTTTCATCATACGTTTTTCATCCGTTCACATCCGTTTTTCATCCGTTCACATCCGTTTTTCATCAGTTTACATCCATTTTTCTTCAGTTTACATCTGGTTTTTTTTACATCCTTTACCAAAGGAAAAACGGACAGTATGTCCATTTACATCCATCCTCCTGGACACTTTCCTCTCTGCCTTAGAGTGTATCTCTAGGCGAAACCTTAGAGATGCTCACAGAACGAGAAGGGGAAATATCCTAGTGGGGACACCAGCTGTCTAAAATGGGAATTCCTCAAACAAAGGTTTTGGCTATAGATACACTTTAATAATTGGTTTTATTTAGTGAGGCAAAAAGAAGTGCAGTGAAGCAAAGTAACCATTTAGATATAAATTTGATTTTAACACATTTCTAATTGTAATCAGATCAGCAAAAAAAGTATTGGTTGCCATAGGCTACTCCATGTTTCATATTACTCTATGCTTTTTTTAAGGGGTTCAGGGTTTTTTTTATTTGTCGTTGGAATTTTCTGACCAGTTACCCCCTGACCAAATTAAAAGTTTAAATAAACTTACCGAATTTGGTTTGTCATGTTATCACTTACTCTAGCTAAAAAAACAAGAAAAAAAAAAAAACCCGACCTGCACCAATGCTTAGCTCCCGCTGAATGACAGCTCCGTTGCCTCTCTTTTTTGGTGAATGAGTAGGAAGGGCCCGGATCTAGGGGCCCCTTTGTTAAAGGAGGCTTCCAGATTCTGATAAATCACGCCCCGCACCCCCACAACCACCAAACCAGGGTTGTGGGAAAAGGCCCTTGTCCTCATCAACGTGGGAAAATGTGCGTGCTCCCCTCCCTCAAAGCACCTTCCTATGTTGAGGGCGTGTGGCCTGATATGGTTCAGGAGGGTGGGCTGCACACTCCCCTTCCCCCCTTTTCTGTCTTGCTAGGCTGCATGCTTGGATAAGGGTCTGGTATGGATTTAGGTGGGGACCCCACGCCATTTAAAAAAAAAAAAATTGTTGTAGGGTTCATACCAACCAGAAGTGTATAGATTGGGGGGACCCCCACTCTGATTTAATAAAAAAGTATTTAATGTAGGCATTTTTTTTTGTTAACATTCTGCTAGCAGCAGGGAATCCCTCTGGCAGCAGATGAGTTGTGGTTGTCAAGGACGTGGCGGCTGCCCGCTACTTAACCAACAGTTTACTGATTGCTAAGGACGCCATTGGCTGCCGGATCCTTAACAACAAGCTAAAGTAAAATAGATTCCTTAACTATCGCCCTCCTGGAGCACTATTTATTTATTTCCCTTAGTGAATTGACTTTAACACCTTTTTATGCGACTAAAACTGACATAGTCTATTGTAGTTTAACTAGCGGTGTTCAAATATTGGTATTTATTCATTGTTCTGTCACCAGACTCTGGACATGTGAGAAGCTTGTAGGCCCATATGGTAATTCTGTGTTGGATAATTTTTACTACTTAACAACATAAGTAAGGAAAAGTTTGATTTCTTTGACCTGGATTGGATTTTCCTTACTGATCAAAAGCATTAATTTGATGATCAAATGTCCCATTTAGTGCACTCAATTTGTGGGAGTTACAGATAAATCTTTTTATCAGATGACCGTGTTGTTCCCAGTATGGTTGGCGTATGAATGATGCTCTTCTTGTAGAAATATTGTACAAAGCTATGAAACTTACTTCTCTGCTTCTCACTGCATTTCTTCTTTTTTCTTTTTTTTTCTGTTTTATTTTGATCTTATTTTATAGTTTTTGTTCCTTTTTTTGTTTTTCTCACTAGCATTCATTCTGTGGCCTTGATGATCTATTCCAGCAAACAAAGATGGTTGGTATTTACTGAACATTATTTTTATTTGATACTATTGGTGGTTGATGCCTTTGGGTCTTTGGAATTCTGCGCCATGTACTTTGTAATATACAGTTGCAAGAAAAAGTATGTGAACCCCTTGGGATTACGTGGAGTTTTGCATGAATTGGGCATAAAATGTGCTCTGAACGTCATCTAAATCACAACAATAGAAGAACACAGTCTGCTGAACATAATACTATACAAACATTAGATGTTGCCATGGTTTAATTGCACATAACATGTAAACATTCACAGTGCAGGGAGGAGAAAAGTATGTGAACCTTTGGACTTAATAACTGGTTGACCCTCCTTTGGCAGCAATAACCTCAACCAAACGTTTCCTGTAGTTGCAGATCAGACCTGCACAACGATCTGGAGTAATTTTGGACCATTCCTCTTCACAAAACTGTTTCAGTGTAGCAATATTCTTGGGATGTCTGGTGTGAATCGCTCTCTTAAGGTCATACCACAGCATTTCAATCGGGCTGAGGTCAGGACTTTGACTGGGACACTCCAGAAGGCGTATTCTGTGCTGTTGCAGCCATTGTTTTGTTGAATTACTTGTATGCTTTGGGTCATTGTCCTGTTGCATCACCCATCCTCTGCGGAGCTTCAGTTGGCGGACAGATGGTCGTACGTTTTCCTGCAAAATGTCTTGATAAACTCTGGAATTCATTTTCCCATCAATGACAACAATCCGTCCAGGCCCTGAGGCAGCAAAGCAGCCCCAAACCATGATGCTCCCTCCGCCATGTTTTACAGTGGGGATGAGGTTTTGATGTTGGTTGCTGTGCCTTTTTTTTCCACACATAGTGTTGTGTGTTCTTCCCAAACAACTCAATCTTGGTTTCATCTGTCCACAGTATATTTTGCCAGTAGTGCTGTGGAACATCCAGGTGCTCTTTTGCAAACTTCAAGCGTGCTGCAATATTCTTTTTGGACAGCAATGGCTTCCTCCGTGGTGTCCTCCCATGTACTCCATTCTTGTTTAATGTTTTCCTTATTGTAGATGTGTCAACAAAAATGTTAGCATGTGCCAGAGATTTCTGTAGGTCTTTAGCTGACACTCTGGGATTCTTCTTTACCTCATGCAGCATTCTGCGCTGTGCTCTTGCAGTCATTTTTACAGGACGACCGCGGCCTAGGGAGAGTAGCAACAGTGCTAAACTTTCTCCATTTGTAGACAGTCTGTCTTACCGTGGACACATGAACATCAAGGCTTTTGGAGATACTTTCGTAACCCTTTCCAGCTTCATGCAAGTCAACAATTCTTGATCGTAGGTCTTCTGAGAACTCTTTTCTGCGAGGCATGGTTCACATCAGACAGTGCTTCTTGAAACCAGTAAACCCAAAACAGGTGTGTGTTTTTTTAAGGGCAGGACAGCTGTCAGCAACACATCCAATATCATCACACTGATTGGAGTCAAGGTTGGCTCACTCCTGGCTCCAATTAGCTCTGGGAGAAGTCATTAAGCTAGGGCCTCACATACTTTTTCCTCCCTGCACTGTGAATGTTTACATGTTATGTGCAATTAAACCATGGCAACATCTAATGTTTGTGTAGTATTATGTTCAGCAGACTGTGTTCTTCTATTGTTGTGACTTAGATGACGTTCAGAGCACATTTTATGCCCAATTCGTGCAAAACTCCACGTAATCCCAAGGGGTTCACATACTTTTTCTTGCAACTGTAGATAGCAGCAGAGCTATTTAAGTGTTGCTCGTGGATTTTTTTGTAATTTTTAATTAAAGCATTATTGCTTTTAATGTCCCTGCAGGAGAGATTCACCCTCTCTATTTGACCTAGTAACCATAGTAATTAGGACTGAAAGTAAGGGAAAATCTTCCAACAGTGACAGCTAACTAAAAGGAGATATCTTCTCACTTCCTCTTTCAACTTGAAACAGGAATTTAAGGGAAATCTCCTGCATTGTATGCAGATGCCAAAAAATTACATTTTGTATAAAACCTTCCCTATTCAGTTCAAAATAAACAATATTTTTGGCTTAAAGTGTTACTAAATCTACAGCAGTAAAATCAGTCTGTATATGCAGTAAAGCATGCTTGTTATGCTCTGTCAATCATCACTGTCCAGACAGAGGTCAGGGGTTCTGCATCCTCTTAGAGCAGAATAAAAACTCCTCCTACAATCTTTAACATGTGCTTGGCTGGACACTGATAGAAGTCACAAGACTTCTCTAACTTCTGATGAGAAAAGGTATTTAGCAGTTTATATTTACTAAAATAATTGCACTTCCATGTTCTGTGGGAGAACAGATATAGCGAATGCAGGGTCCTTGGTTTAGTAACACTTTAAAGTTTACTAAAAGTGGTAGTCCACCCAAAGATGCTTTTTAATTTCTAGAAGATGTATGATGGGCTGAATCACCTGCAGAATTTTTAGATGTGTGGGTGCTCCGGGGGCACGATATTTACCTTTCAGCTCCTACCTTATTTTTAATCCAAATTCCAATATATATATACAGTATGTATTTAAAAATATAATGTACAACATTATATACAGTGTACGCAAAGCACAATTGTTTTAAAAATAATAAAATGCAGATCTGGCTGCAATCTGACCTTCTCTTTGGTGCTCTGTCATGTCCCTGAGGTCCAGCACTGGTCATCTCCTCTGCTGACGGGCACTGGTCCTATTCGCTGTGAGTGCAGGGCATTATGTAGCTTCCTCCTGGAGATGCACCATCTTGGCTCTATACCCTCACAGTACAATAAATGCAGAGATGCTATCACACCTACAATCCTCTGCATCATTAAAGTGGAAAACAAAGCTCTAACTATTCCCAAAAGTGTTCCCTCCCCCCCTCCTCCTACCTATTCTGTTTACCCTGTGTAAAAAAGATCTGTATATGTACCTGTTTTCAATCTGGTCCAGTCTGGTCAAGTGATTCTTCAGCTCTTGCTCTCCTGTGTCAGTGAGCTGGTGCTGCAGAGCAGAAAAGGGAGCGCCGACAACAGCTGGGCCATGGGAGCCTATGGGTGACATCACAGCTCCGGGAATACACTGTCATTGTCGAGCATTCCCTTACAAAAGGGAGTCAGAGCTGCAGGATCATACGACTGGACTGAATTAAAAATAGGTAAGTACACAGATCATCCTTATACAGGGTATGTAGGATAGTTAGGAGGAGGGGGAGGGAATGTTTTAAGCATAGTTAAAGTTGGCCTTTACTACCACATTAAGGATGTCCCAGTTTTTGTTAAAGAGACTTAGAAGAGGAGGACACATGTCACAGGAGTGGCCAGAAGACATTTGAAAAAAAAAAAGGTAAGTATATACAAAAATAACATATAAATAAAAAATAGTACAACAAACACAAAATGTAAAAAAACACAAAAAAATTAGGGAGAATGATGAGACCATTTATAATGGCTCTGGCAGGTAGAGTCCTTGAGAGATGAATAATTGCAAATAATTGTTAGGTGGTTTATCTCTTCAGCATCTTAGTGGACTGAACCTTTAACTGCTACCTGAGGGCATAATAGTAAAAGAAGCCGGTGCTTATACTGTTGGGGTGGTATAAAATAGCAATGCAAAAAACACTGATGTGCTGTAGACTAGAACAACCTGTAAGAAACAATCTCTCAGCTAAACTCCTGTCAGTAAAGTGAAAGAAGAAGAAAAAGCGTCAGAAACCTCATTTTCACAATGTTGTTCACTACAGGTGAAGAGTGGTAGGTGTTATGTAATACTATGAATACAGAAGGTGAGAATGTCCAGGCACCCACTATGGAAGCATGTCAGCAGAATTCAGCGATTTTTGCAATGCAGGAACAAACACTGTTTATGTGAGATATTTCATTTTGAGTGTCATTATGTCAACCAACGCTCGTGCTACTGAAGCCATTGCAACATGTAAACAAATTATAAAAGGACTATTTCCCCTGAGATCTCACAGTTTGACCATCAGAAATCTCTGGATGGGAATAGTGACGTAGCCTTCCCAGGGGTAACTGGAAAGCACTGGCTATGTTACCAGTGCCTCAAAAAAACAATGTAATGGGTAATGTAAGGGGCATTCTCTTCACTTGCCACCATTGTAAGGGGGCCCTATTCCCACTGGCCACTTATTTAAGGAGATCATTGTCCCACTTACCACCATTTTAGGGGACACTTATCCACTGACCGACAATAAGTTTGTAATTTATATACTGTACCTTCCTTAGTGTTACAATAGAATACTGTCAGTATAATGGCAGGAGGTGGAATTACCGTTCTCTAATAATCTTCTTTTTTTTTTTTCTCTCTTTTGTTTTTATTGCAGGGTTTGAAAAGAGCACATGGGGTAAACATCTGAATCTTCTGCAACTGCCAAAACAGACACACTGATCTCATTTTATTTTTTAATCACGGGACTGGCCTGAACTGCCAGATGACTCTTTAAATTATAAGTTTTGTACCTATTTAGTTTTTAACTGGACTAAATTTGTTGCACAGCAATAGTCCCGATATTCAGAGACTCTAATAAAATGGATGAAAACATAGTAAATAAAAAAAAATTAATAAATGCACAATAGCACTAAATGATCTTTATCTTTTTTTTGCATTTCTTGTGTAATCTTTATCTTTTTAGCTTCTGAAATTATACCCCTTTTAAAGTAATTGCCCAGTATTTTGTACAGGGTTTCAAACAGGTGTATCATTTTCAAGATGATTTTATATCTGATTTCTTCAAATGATTTTATATCTGGTTTGTATTCAGTTAGATCAAAGATTAGACACTTCAATGTCTTTACATGAACAGAAAACTTTTAAACTTGGTATCCCATAGCATAAATCCAGAGACCCTGATTTACTGTTCACTTTCAAAGGTCAATTTCACTTTGCAAATGTAATATTCACGTATCTTAGTGAATGAGGTGAAACAAAAGACCCAATCATGTAACCAACAAATAAAAGAAAATTGACTTTTGCTGCACATGAATGATT